ACCAAATAAAGAAAAATTAATGTAGAAAAATATGATTCATCTCATAAATATTAACTCTCTGTAGCAACATTTCAAATTCAGAGCAAGTTTATAGAAAATAGATATAATCATAATATGTTTGAATACAAATCCATGTGCATTCAAGAAAATCACACATGCATACTAGGGTTTTTATGAATATTCAACAAAAGCACTCAACACTAAAGATGAATCGATTGATGGACAGATAAGAAAGAAAATGAATATTTGATTTGACAAATAAATGGCATGAAATGAAATTGCATTGCAATAGGTAAGGGTAGCATTTATGAGACAGGCTATTGGTTTGACAATACACTCATTTTGGGAGAATCTAATGTGATCTTCCAATCCCATATCTACACAATAAAATATTTTACACCTAAATTTAATTTTTTTTCTCCATTTTTTAACAACACATTCCTCAAACAATACCATTTGAAAAAAAAAAATTGGGTAATTAACACAAAATCTCATTATCTTTCAATATTATTGTGCAAAATATTCTCACCTTTCTTTTTTTGACATTTTTATTTTTACATTCACCTTTTATTGCGAAAATTATCAATTTCATCAAATTTCTCATGTAAAACGACAAATATATCCCATATTTAAATAAAACAATAAAAAAGAAAAGTTAAAGAATAAATTGCAATCATACTCCCAAACTTTTTTAAAAAGTGTAAATGATTCCAAATAAATTATTAAAAGAGTAATTAATACAAAACGTCTTTACATTTCATTAATATTGTGCAAAACGCTCATACTTTTTATTTTTTAATATTTTCGCCCTTATTTTTATATTTTAGTACAAAAATTATTATTTTCATCCATTTTTTCAATTAAAAGTTGTAAAATGACAAATATATCTCCTCTTCAAATAAACAAAAATAAAGAAAAGAAAAATAAAGAACAAATTGCAACTATATTACCAATTTTTTTTAAAAATAAAATTTAAATAAATAATTAAAAAATTACTTTAATTTTTAATTATTTATTTGGAATTCATTTGTCCTTTTTTTTGAAAATTTTGGAAATATAGTTGCAATTTGTTCTTTATTTTTATTCATTTAACGATGAGGGTATATTTGTCATTTTATAGCCTTTAATTGAGAGAATGGATGAAAATAACGATTTTCGTAATAAAATATGAAATAAGAGTAAAAATGATAAAAAAATGAAAGGTATGGACATTTTGTGCTAATTACCTTAATAATTTATTTGCATTTTTTAAAAAAGTTTGGAAGTATGGTTGCAATTTATTCTTTAACTTTTTATTTTTTTTTTACAATTTATTCTTTAACTTTTCATTTCTTTTTAGTGTTTTATTTAAACAGGGGGTATATTAGTCATTTTACACGAAAAATTTGACAAAAATGATGATTTCCACAATAAAATGTGAAGGTAAGGATAAAAGTGTCAAAAAATGAAAGGTGGTGACGTTTTGCACAATAACATTGAATGATAATGACGTTTTTTATTAATTAACCTTTTTTTTTTTGTTAAATAAAGGCCACCAAAATTTGATATCTTCATTCCATTATTAGCCCTTCTTTGGGCACTATTTTAATTTAATTATAGGGGAAATTTTATTTTGAAGTGATACTTTTTGTAAAAAATGTGTGGATAAAATATAAGAGAAGATTTTAAGTTTATGTGTAATATTATTTTATTAAAAAATATATGATTAGAGAAGAGAGAGAGAGAGAGAGAGAGAGATGCATTAACTAGCCCCGTCGGTCCATTGGCTACTTTTTTCTCCTTGGATTGTTCTCAACTATATAATTCTATTATGAAGACGTTGAAATGATAATACACAAATTAAAAAATTGACAACATTTTAATTCTATGTTGATTCAACTGAATACAAAAATGAAAAAGGCAGGAAGTGTTGAAGATGTTTAATGAAGCAATAAGAACAATTAGATAGTTCAAAATGTAAATACAAAAATATAAATTAAACATCATTGAAAATCAAAGATAATCTCACAAATTCAATTAATACTTAATCTTGTTTCAAATATTCCGTTATCTAATTTATTTGTAATTTTTAACTTAGGCAGTCCTCTCACAAATTCTATTAATACTTAAATTTAGGTAGTCTTCTCTTCTTTATGGAATTTTAAAATGAATATCAATGCAATACAAAATTTGAGTATAATAAAAATTTCAAATTCATCACTCAAACTAAGCCTTAAATAATAATATGGGCGTTACAACCCCTAAAGGGGGAACTTGCCCTCAATCAAAACGGCCTGCTTAAAACAGACCTTTTGGTATACTGTTCGAAAAGTTATTTCTAAATATTTGACATTGGGTAGGAGTGTAAACATGAGTTCATATGTATAATAAGCACATGAGATAGACTTATGAATTCAAATATTTAGTGCCAGGACTGATCCTAATCAAGCTTCTGCCAGTTTGATTAGAAAAATAATTAATTAGCCTATGTTTAATCCCATTATTTTTAAAAAATATATATTTTTTTCATTTTTTAGTCACACATTTTTTAATAAAATAATATTATATGCAATTTTTTTTAACTACACATTCTCAATTAATCTACTATTTCAAAATGTATTTTTAGCAAAAATGGGGCTCAAACAAGCGAGTCAACAGAAATAGGTGTATCAGTTGCGATTTACCTTTAAAAATTTAAATTGTTTGTTACAGTATCATTTTTCACTACACATTTATACAATAAAATATTTTACACAAAAATCAAAAAAGTTTATTTACTTTTTAACTATACATTCTCAAAAAAATATTCAAAACTTTTAGACTCTATTCGTTAGTGATTATGCAAATTGATTTTTTTACTGTTAAAGATAGAAGTGAGTTTCATCTGTGAGTAAAGATGTAAAAAAATAATGATTGAAATGGTGAAATAATGATGAAAAAATTAATTTTTTCAGATAAAAAATTATTATCAAATGAGAACTTAATTTTTTAAATAATGGGCATCAAACAGTGCCTAAAGGAGTTCTTTCCAATTAAGGTGAGGTACAGTATGCTACAGCGCACACCTGGTTTGCTCAACTGTACTTCTTAATTAACACACTGCAGAAGTGTACTTAAATCTTCGTGTTTAGTGCATGTAATTATATGATTAAGAATTTTCTGACATACGTGTCTTATGATAATATATTTGTTGATATATAAAATAAACTATTGAATTTAAGTTCAACACGAACACAGGTATAAAAATGTTAGAGGATTTCTAAAAGACCCTCCATTTATAATGAACATTTTATGCATAATAGAGAGCATTTTTAAATTTAGAAAGTAATTTTTTACACACTCCAATAAGTTATCTACTTTAATTTTTTATTTTGTTTTTCCAATGAATATTTAATAACTTCTCCATATATTTTATTAAAGCATAATTTTTTATATATTAATGACCAATCATTTCAAATATAATTTGAAAATTTTAAATTGTAGAGCATTGAAATTTGTAATGTATTAAATGTAATTATTATACCTCAAGAATAGAGAATGAGTTTGGCTCTCTAAATTTGAAAAGCCAAATACACTCTTCATTTTAAAAAATTAAAATAGAGAGTCTTTTGAAACTCATTTTTAAGCATTGATTTTTTTAAATAGAGAGTATTTTGTTTTTAAAGGTCTCTTGAAGCTGCTTATAGGTTTAGAAAATCTATAGCTGGACTTCTTAAATTAGGTTGTTATCTCTTTTTATCAATGATACATTTTCCAATGAAATAATATTACACGTAAATTTAAAAGTTTTTCTTTTATATTTAATCATACATTTTTCAAAAAATTACTATCTCATTCATTATAATTTAAAATAATAGACTTCAAACATGGCTTAATCTTATCCTAAATAGAAGAAAATAGAAACCCTAAATAAAGTTTATGGAATTTTGTCAAAAAGAAAAAAGTAGGGTTTTTGTGCGGCACCTCAAGAGTAGCAATTTTCAGACAACAGCATTGCTTCACTCAGGAATCAAGTGGAAGAGGCATGATGATATGCAGGATATTAATTAATTAATCTTCCTGATAAAAAGAAGAATATTACTATTAATGCCTCACTGTTCATATGATAAGACCTTGAGTTTTGTTTGTTATTTACATTGCCTATGCTTGTAATGAAATTAGCTCTGTATTTTGTCAATCAATCATACTGTGGTGACATATATGGCGTGGATTTAATCAATAAAATTATTGGAGGAAAGGAATTTAGCCCCGGTTTGATTCCCATTACGTGGAAAAATTAATGAGGGGAATAGTACTTTTTTGAAAAATGATTGGTTGAAAAAGAATGAAAAGTTTTTAATTTACGTATAATATTATTTTATGGAAGATTGTGTGGTTGAAAATAGAAGAGAGAAAAATGAAATGTAATAGAATTTAATATAATGAAGATCAAACGGGGGCTTAAATTGATTAAAGATAAAATTCATTTATTCCTTTAGATTTCACAATCATGCTACATGTATAATATCTTTTATATTATTTTTTACATTGTGTCGTATGGCAAAATATCATTTGATAGTTTTAAAAGCAAAATTGTTTTTCCTGCCCATAACTTTTAAAAAACAAAGACAAGGTCAAAATTAATGTAAAGGAAGGAGTGTACGTTTAGCATTATTGTAGGTTTTAATCTCTAGAGGAATTTGTTATTTTATAAGCATAATATTATGCAATTTTAGTTAAGGCCTTGTTTGACTCTTTTTATTTGAAAAATTAAAGAGTTTTGAATAGTATTTATATAGAATATGTGATTAAAAAGTAAGAAAATTTTATTAACTTATATGTAAAATATTTTATTGTGTCATTGTCTAATAAAAAATGATAATATAACAAATAATTTAAATTTTAAAATTTGTCAAACATGGGCTAACAAGTCGGTGAAGTTCTTTGTACGAAATCTTAAACTATTGCAATTTATCCCAAGGAATATTTTTTGTCAATGACTTGTATATAAAATCTGCAGCATAAAGCAGTGCTTTCCATGGTGCAGTGAAATAGAAGGGAGTGTACAAGAAAGAAAGAATATGCATCTCTTTCTGTCACATTGCAACATATTATTTTAACCAGAAATATAGTCTAATCCCTGCCCCTCTCTTTGCTATATAAAGCCATGATTCTTCAGAAAATTACTCAAGAGCTGAGTGAATCTCCAAGACATTTAGCCCTGTCTCTCCAAACACCACGCCCACCTCCACCCCAAAGAAAAGCCCTGCCTTCCTTCTTCGACCCTCTCTTTTACCACTCTTACATGAAGAAGTTCCAACATATATTAAGCTAAAAAGTAGAAGGGGGTTCCAAAGTTTGTTCACTAAGATTTTTTTATGTGTTTTTGACTGTGTCCAATTTTTCATTTTTATTCCATGGAGAGATGCTTGAAATTTTTAAACTTCCATTTTATTGAATATTGATGACGCGACTTTAGAAGAGAGCTTTCTTCAGTCCAGTTATGGGAGGCCGTAGGATTCAATTTGCTGTTGACTCATTCATCCAAATGCTGTGTAGTTGATGAGTTTTACACGGTAACTGAGTGAATGATGCGAGAGTCAAGTTGAATCTTAAGCTTTCTGTACTTGGACTGAAGGGAGCTCCCTTCCACTGTTTTCTTATCCTGTACTGCTTAAGTTCACTTTATATTTTAGTTCTGTTTAGTAATCAATCAAGGTTTCATTTTGCTTAATTATAGTCTGTTACTTTTATGCTCTGAAGAACTTCAACTACCTGAACAAAGGTACGCTTCATTCTGCTCTACAAATTCCTTAAGTAGGGTTTAAGGCTGCAGTTTTTGTGCTGATTTTGTATGTAACTATGATTAGCTTGATCTTACTCACAATTACTGTTAAGGTTTGCTTATTTCTGTTGAGGGTCTTAATATATCTCAATATTTTGTTTTGCAAAAATTAATGACAAGTTTTCTACTTGTAGTCAGCAGATTTAGGGTTTTGTCAAGCTCGAGATTATGCAGTGAACGACAATTGTTTCTTGGGCCTTGCTCACTTGTTGCAACAAGTTCCCAGACATGTCTTCAGTTTGTGCAATTACCAAAATATCCTCTTGATGTTAATCTGGAACCCTACTAATGGCTGCCTACAGATGCAATATTCAACCTGGATTCCAGTTCTCCCCCCCCCCCCCCACCCCCGTTCCCTTTGTAAATTAGATCTCTGGCATTGGCTATTAATCGAACGTTCGACCAGCATAGGTTTGATTATATTGTGTATTATTATAGAATTATCTGTTTCAGTCTTATTTATTTGTCAAAATTTGAACAATATTTTGATGAATGTATGATTAAAATGTGAAGAATTTTTTATTTTTTAATGCGTGTAATTTAAGGAAGAATGTATTACTAAAAACAAGTAAGAAAAATATATTTTAAAAATAAGTATGATCAAATGGGATTATCTGTAGCTAGATAATCTGAAGTTCAGAATTCGCTGGTAATGGCTTACAGACGTGACTACTGCTCTTTTATTATGATTTTTATCTGGGTATACAATCTGAAATACAAGGAGAAGTGAAGCTTCCCCACCACCCCCAAGCCTATGGGATCCCAAACGTAGTTTTCTATTTCTTTACGAGTCCATGGCAGAAAATCTTACTTATGGACCTATGACAGTAATTGCTTATTCAAATTGGAATAAACATGAAACTTTTTTAACATCGTGTAGCGTCTGAGTAATTAGAAGTTTTGTAGTGCTCACTGCTCATACAAGCATAATACACAAGTTCAAAATCCACGCCTTCGTCAAATTGTAGTCCATATATTAATGTTTTCAGAATCTTTGAATGAAGTGAAACCCTGGAAAGCAAAATGCACAAGGGAAGGAAGAATAAACATAAAAACCAAGTGGGCTCATTCTTAAGTATATCATAAACAAGAAAAAGGCTGGATTTCGCCATGGGTGCTCGCTCTTCTTCTCTGCAAATGACAGGTGCCCCAGCTGGTCTTCTAGTTTCTCCCTTCCACAAACAGAATCTTTCAAAGCAAATCAAACAGCTAATTCCACTCATCATGATTTTTTAATTTTTTTGTACTTCAAAAGAACTCAAATTGGCGTTCTGAGCTGGTAGAAACTATTATTAAAAATAATCTCTATGATTCGAACGATATCGTAAATAAGTGATTAATTGTAAGAAACAATATATGTTCTTTTACTTTTTACATCTCTATTTTCATTCTTTCACTATTTATGAGATCTTGCACCTTTTTTATACGATTCATCTCTTTCACTTTATTTTAACAGATTCATGAGTTGCTAAATATGGATAAAACTTTTATTTTACAGAGAGAGATATGCAAACTACAAAATCTTTTCACTTGCTACATATCTTCCTAAATTTTCTCATGTATGTTTGGTCAGCGCACTATCTTTAATAAACATCTGTTCCACAACATTTTGTCGCTTTATATCTTCAATTATTTATCTTATTGACATTTTGTTTATATTTCAATAAATTTAAAAGACAACCAAGTAAAATAATATATAATGAATAGAGATTTCTAGGTGTGCAAAAGTTAGAGGTATCTGTGTTTCAAATTGGGCTGGCTTTGCTTTGCTTTCCTCTTTATTTTTTGTTTATTTTTTTATTTCACTTTATTTTGTATCAAAAGTAAGTGCTTACTCATTTTACTCATCACATAGTATCTTGATGTTAAGTGGACAGACAAGGTGCATCAAGAACCACAAGTTATAAAATTGAAAGATTGAGAATTTACGGATCGAAATTGAAGGACCGAGATAAGTGACTTTGTTAATTTCATATCAATAGAGAGACTAAAAAATATATATGTCGAAATCGAAGTATGATTTATTGAGTTACACTAATGGCAAATAAGCAGACCCGGTCCTATGGTCAGGCAAATGAGGCATGTGCCTCAGGGCCAAAAGTGTTTTTTTTTTAATATAAAAAGAAGGATAATGAAAATAGTTTTTTTTTTCATTAATTGTGAGATGATTGATATATTTGTTTATTGTTTTAACGTTAAGTTTTAGGTTGGCAATATTTTGTATAATACACCGTTGAATTTTGCATTTATGTCGATTTTCGGGGACCTAATTTTTGAACTTCGTCTCTGGCCCCGGCAATCACAGGACCGAACCTACACATAAGTTATAATTTTGCTAAGTTCTTATATGTTCTTGCATGTGAATTTTGATTTTAACTGAGTTTCTAGTAGATTGAAGTTTAGAATGCTAGGATCAAGTAAGTTGCGATCTCAATTTGTGGGTTGATGACATATCCTCTCTATGTAGGACGAGTACTTTGTGTAAGGGTAACTACTCTCTCTTTGGACAAGAATTCGCATTGTAGCTTCAGTGATAAGTGTTCAAGGAGTGGTGGATCAAGTTGAGCCAGGACCTCATTCTAGCGCTGGTGACATCAACTTTCCGGAGAGGAGATTCATGTTTGTCGGACGGTGTGTTTAGGGGAAGCGCGAATTCAGCTTGGCAAGAGGCATGCAAACACCTGTGCTGTGGAGCGGGTGTTTGTATAATGAGGATACATGAATAATCTTCTTGATTGAATCTTAGTTTGATCACGTGGATGTTAGTGAACGAATTTACATCAACTTGTCCAAAAGAGTCATGAATTCTTTTTAATTTTATTTAATTTGTGAGTAATAATGACAGTATATATATATTTATTTATATATTTATTTTTATTTATTTACATGATTTGACAGTAAGTTCTACGTAGACATAAAAATCGAAATGGGGTTACAGATTGATTTTGCTTTATTCTATGGGACCAGATGTTCCAACCGATTTGGAAAGATTTAGGGTGAATTGATTTAGGGAGTCAGTTTCACAATCATATCTTTTCAAGTATCGTTCAAAATCTTTAACATTTTGCTAATTAAGTGTAATTAATTAATTATAAGATGAATCTTGGAAAGATGAAGAAGCAAATTGCACCGGTGCACGTTTTTATAAATGTCATAAGTTTATGTCTTATAAATTAAATCTAATTTTGAATTGAATTTTATTTCAATGATAATTCTTAATAATTTACACTGTCCAACTGATATTTTGATTAAAGTACACGAATAGACAGATTTTATTTATAAGCCCATGATCTCCTTTGTTGATCTTATCTGTTGCCTAGTGTTGATAATGCAGTGAACTCCACAAATGAAAGATATTGTACGTCTATTATGGAAATTGGAACCCAAATAAATGATTTTCCAAATTAGAAATTCAAATACTTGAACATCTTAAAGATTGCGTTATTTGAATAACAACATTTGGAGGTCTGTAAAAAAGTTACACACTCAAATTGACATCCCTCACAAATCTCCTAAGGATAGTGCTACATGTACCCATTGGTTCACACAATGGTTTACACAATCTGATGTGGCGATATTTTGACTTTTGAAAATGAAAATCTCGTTGAGCCTGAGAATTGGATTTTTCTTGGAAATGTTAAACCTCGCATCCACCATTTGCCCGCGATTTCACCTCTCTTCCAAATCCCCCTCTTCCCCCCGCCCTCACCCCACAAAGGCGACTGAGAAATGGAAAGCTAAACCTGAGAAATTGGATTTTGTTGTAAATGTTAAACCTCAACTCCACCATTTGCCTGCAATTTTGCCCACCATTTCACCTCTCTTCCAAATCCCCCTCTTCCCCCCCCCCTCACCCCACAAAGGCGACTGAGAAATGGAACGAGGGGAAACCTGGCTTGATGCCGGCGACGGCGCGACGGTGAGTCCGACCTCGTTATCTGCACCGTTCGTGATTCACCCGAAACCCAGTTATTGTAGAGAAGAATATGAAATGGAAGGAGGCAACATCGAGTCCGGCAACAACATGGGTAATATTTCTTTTCTTCCCTGGCATTATTGTTAATCCAAGAATTTGTATTTTTTTGTAATCTTCATATGCCCAGATACCGTAGAGCGTGAAATGATTTTGGCAATTGCACTGGGCACCAACAATTTATTTGCATGATAATTACACATTATTCACTTATTTATGACTTTTTATTTAATTATTTATGGTGAATTAAGTGATAGTTAATCTATTGTACAATAAGTTAATTATAGGTAAACCTCAATTTAGATGCAGTTTAAGAAATTGAAGTGATAGTTAATCTAATTGATTGTTGAAATTATAGGTAAACCTCAATTTATATTTGCTGCTTACAATAGCAATAATCCATTTCTCGGGCTACTTTATTTTCTTATACATACACAAACTCACATGTTACGATCAAAAAAAAAATATTTATTTGAGTAACATTACTTATAAGTAGGGCTTAAAATAGCAGATTATTGTTCATGTTCACTAATACGACAGTGCTTAAATTCACTACTGCTTACAATAGCATTTTAGATGCAGTTTGATTGTTGTTCATTCTTAAACCTCAATTTAGGTCCAATTGAAAAAAGGCTTATTTTGATTGTTGTTCATTCTTTAGTACAATCATATCCATTACAAAATGTACAGTGTCCCCCTCCAAGAGTTCTTATTTTGATTTGTTGTTCTTCCTGTCATGAATGTAGGTATTTGGAAATCTCTTCATCCGAAGACAATAATCCGAATGACATGAGTTTACAAGAAGGAACTGATATTATTGTGCCTAGTGTTGGAATGAAGTTCCAAGATGAGAATAAGGTGTTTGAATTTTACAAGAACTATGCATACCAAGTCGGATTTCCAGTGAGGAAAAGAAATTCAAGGAAGGGTGAGGATGGGGTTGTGCGTTATGTCACTTTCACATGTAGTCGGGAGGGCCGTCAAAGTACTGGCTCAAATTCAATCCTGAAGCCTCAACTAACAATGCAAACAGGTTGTAAAGCAAGATTGACAGCATGTTCAGATCTAAGTGGCTCATGGCGTATTAACATTGTTCATCTGGAGCATAATCACAAAACAAGCCCGTTGAAATCAAGGCTATGTCGTTGCAATCGAGAAATCAGTGCACGTGTGAGAAGACAGCTTGAAATAAATGACGTGGCTGGTATACCATTACATAAGAGTTTTAACTCAGCTATGGTTGAAGCCGGTGGTTATGAAAATATTATGTGCATTGAGAAAGATTGTAGAAATTTCATAGATAAAGTCCGACAGTTAAGACTGGGTGAAGGAGATGCTCTTGCAATACAAGCTTATTTTACGAAGATGCAAGCACGCAGTCCTGGTTTCTTCTTTAGCATAGACTTGGATGATGAGGCCCTACTACGGAACGTGTTCTGGGCAGATAACAGGTGTAGACAAGCGTGCAAGGAGTTCGGTGATATAGTTACATTTGACACCACGTATTTGACTAACAAGTACGAGATGCCTTTCGCTCATTTTGTTGGGGTAAACCATCATGGACAATCAACTCTACTCGGATGTGGCTTACTCTCTAATGAATACACAAGGACCTTTGTATGGCTATTCGAAACCTGGCTTGAATGTATGCATGCTCAAGCTCCATGTGGGATAATTACAGATCAAGACCGTGCTATGCAAAATGCAATTGAAATCGTGTTCCCGAACACAAAGCATAGATGGTGTCTGTGGCATATTCTGAAAAAGTTACCAGAAAAGTTTGGGGGCCATAGACATAAAGTTTCCATTCTTGCTACCGTTCATGCGTTGGTATATGATGTGCAAAGTTGCAAGGAATTTGAACAAGGATGGAATAAGATGCTCGCCGAATATGACTTGCTAGAACATGCTTGGTTGAGCAGCCTGTACAATAAAAGAGGTCGATGGGTACCATGCTTTTTGAAAACCTCATTTTGGGCCGGTATGTCAATCACGCAACGGAGTGAAGGTATTAATGCATTTTTTGACGGCTATGTTCATTCGAAAACATCTCTGAAGCTGTTGTAGAGCAATATGAACGTGCCTTGAGAAGTAAAGTTGAAAAGGAGTTCCAAGCGGACTTCAAATCATTTTCACAAATGGTCCCATGTGTGACAAGGTACGACATGGAAAGGCAATTCCAATCAGTTTACACCATCGCAAAGTTCAAGGAGTTTCAAGAACAATTTACTGGAAAGGTGTATTGTGAAGTCTTAGGACTTCATGAGACGTACTTGCATACTACGTACGATGTACGTGAGGACATTATTCTGAACAACTGTATGAAGACAAAAATCTTTAAAGTGTGCTTTCGTAGAGATGAATGTGAGTTTGAGTGTAGTTGTCACCTGTTCGATTTCAGAGGAATTATTTGCAAGCACGCGGTGACGATTTTGATTCGAAGCCAAGTGCACTTAGTTCCTGAGAAGTACATTCTGAGGAGATGGAGAAGGGATGTGAACAGATTGTACATGAGGGTTCCGATTACTTATGATAGTTGGATTAGTACTCCAGACCAAATTAGATATGAGGAAATGTGCAATGCATTTGCGAAGTTAGCGGACATCGTAGCACACGATGAGTCACGGTCTCATGGAATGGATTGAAATCCAAACAAATGATTCTTCCATGTTGAAGTATAGTAGCGTGGGCTCTCAACGCTTGGATGAAGCCGGAAAGTGTGCTAGCGGAATCATCTTCGACCCAAAATACACAAAATGCAAGGGAGCACCTAAAAAACTTGGCTGAAAGGGATGTCTAGAAGCTGGTTCTAGAAAATCAAAACTCAATCGAAAGGTATGATTTCGAGCAGAATTCTATAATTTGATAATCACTCTATAGATTGAACTGAGTGTGTTCTCCATGATTTACAGATGGCAAACTCATCTACATCGAACGGGCAAAAAGACAAAGTTTCGTCCTCATTAAACGTTCAGGTGCACTTCTTGCTTTTAACTATTCTTGTATAATGTTCAATGTTCGGTAATGAGTTAAGCTTGTCTTCCATAATGATAATTGGTTGTTTGGAATCAATTTGTATTTGTTTCATGTTGGCAAGATGATTCACGGTTGAAAGACCAGTAGCAGTAGCCATTGGATAAATTATAGCATTTGAATTGATGAGATTTGAAGTCCAGACTCCTTCACATATCATGTTTTCAAGGCATATTTTAGATTTTAAATGTTGTTCAAGCAAGGGCACTGCTAGAAATTAATGGTATTTGTTTAATTGTCTTTCCTTCAACTCTATTTCTGCCTATGTAATTGGTGTTAGAAAAAATTTTATCTATAAGAAACCTTTATAAATTGAAGGTCACTAAGAGCATATTGTATCAATGACTTGCCATACTTCGATGATTTTTTAATGAATTCCAATTTCGCAGGAGATCGGCACGCAGGAGAGCATTGGAGATTTTGATGTAGGGGGTTTAAAATTCCAGCTCATTTTTATGTAGGAGTTGTTTTTTGATGTACAGGTTTTAAATCCCAACATTTTGATGTAGTTTTAAATTCCAGCATTTTGATATAGTTGACTGTTGTGAGTTTTAAATTCCAGCATTTGATGTAGTTGACTGTTGTGGAATCTTGGTAATATATTTTTGACGGGTTTTATATTAGGTACAACATTGGTTTTCTTTAATTTAGCATGAGTTTTATATTAGGTAGTATGTAAATAGTAATTTCCGAAAACAAGGAATGTAAAGTGTCCATTGAGTTTCAAACAGGTTGAAGGGGCATTTACTTTCTACAGTTTATCAAATGCAGTAAAAATATAGATTTTAGCATTCTTCGTGAGTTTTTTTATTTACATAAAGGTCAAAGGGATGTTAATATACCTAAAAAATAATGCCATTTCATTATTGGCCTCTCCCACAGATCTCATTTCCATAGAAGTGAATTTCTTTTCATGCATGGTTGGTTAATATGAACATTCACTACAGCATCTCCTGTAAAAAAATGGAATAGTTTTTTCTTTATCTCTTCATCGAGATAGACACGTAAGAGGTTATTTATCCCCTGTTTAAATCCATTATTTAAAAAACTCATTTGGTAGACAGTTGCTGCTTTTTGCACATATAAAGCTAGTCGAATCTTCTCCTGGAAAACTTACCTTAGATTGTAAAGTTAACATGTTGCCCAAGATGTTGCTGGTTTGAGAACAAAAATTGAGATCCAGCTGCTTTAAACGGATTGAATTGTTCGCTCTTGTAGCAGAATGTGGGTTCATAAAACTATAGAGGTTTCTGAATGATTGAAGCCTATTTATATAACACTTAGAGATGATTCATGGAAAAATAAGATCAACATTGTAAGTACTGCAACATAATTGGGTAGACAACCAAATAAGCAATGTACTGCAACATGGAATTTGATTGACAACACTTGTAATAGTTCACTACATACATCAAGACAACTTCACAGAAAATGTGCTCCAAAGACAGCCATCACTGCAATTTTAATTACAATAAGTCGAAGCTACTCAATTACATATATTTCATTCTACATCTTCCGAAACTCGTTTACCTTTGTGTATGGTGATGTTGAATGAAATCTCTACGTTTCTCTCCTCGGTTATTTTTGCACACGTCGTCAACATACGGGACAAATCGTCAACCGGTTCACTTCCATTGGTAGTGCCACTAGATTCACCTTGCAATGAATACTCTTTATACGGCGCAATGTTAGAAAACTTGAAAAGCCGACAGTTGCAATTACAACTATGGAACAACAACCCTTTATTATCCGAATTCTTTTCTACATCCAACCATCTAACGAAGCCCTCGCCACAGTTTGGGCATTTAATCTTTTTTGGACATTCCGGCAACATGTGTCCCGTAATCCTACAAGAATGACATAATCCCTTGTTTTGGCCACCCATAGAACAATCCTAATCCAATAAAAACAATTAATCAAGTGACAAAAATATTGAATCTGAGTAAAGAACAGAGACATTAAAAAATTTAATCAAGTGCCAAAAAATGAAATGTACATACTATATATGCTTGTTGAAATAAAAGTAACTGTAACACATGAAAATGTGCAAAAAACAGATTACATAGTGCCTTAAATTAAGCTTTTATTCTCTTTAGATTTGAAGTTTTGAAAGTTCATTCTAACTATACATACAACACATTAATTCAGGTCAATCCAAATAGATATCACATCATTTGGTTTCTATAGCGAAAGAAGGGCCAAATGGAAAGGTAAATAAACAAAATGTCATAAAATGTCGCTTCTTTCTGTCAAGATCATATACTATCTAAACATAAGTGATGATTTTATTACTTGGCTACTAAACAAATAAAGACACTAATGGCATGTTTTAAGGTGGATTGAATTGAGTCAGACAATACAAAAGAAGAAAATAAAGCTAAAATCAAAATCTTGTCAGTATTGTCCAATTGTATCAAGTACTGCATACCAACATATTGTATATGTAATTTAATATAAATGCAAAAAAAAATCTATCTAACTGGGGTGTTTGCAATCTAAATTGAAGTGGAACTTTGGTGTAGATGACTACAAGTACTACATTATATTTTTCTTCAGTGTTCAGATTATGAAAAATAAATCATTTAAACTCGAGATACATTAACACCGGGCAAACCAAGTAAGGATGATATTCAATTGATACGAGGAGAGAACTGCCTTAATATCAATTAAAACACTGGACACAAATTTACTTTTCTCATATAAACTTTGCTTTTATACAAACTCAATAAATAAATCTAAAATTTGCTAAACTCGGCATAAATACAATGAGGAAGACATGAAGTAGCACATAAAGGATATGCTTTTGCCATTAAATCACGGCACATAAGAGATATGCACAAGCAAATCAATGTTAATGGATCAAAGTCCTCACTAGACTTCAAAAGATATATAAAAACAAAACTATTCAGTGTCATAATTTTGTTATAAGAATCAGAGTAATTGATCGAAAATGTTCAAATATTATTAGAAATAATTTACCCCAAAACGCGAATATGCAATCGTCATATGACCAAGACATTAAATTATTGCCACTGAAAAGAACATTATAGATCTCGCAAGGAAAAAAAATTAAAATAAAAAATTGTAGACCGTCAACTATTCACAGAAATTAAAATAATTCCACACAGACCAAAGAAAAATGCCTTTCAAACTTTTTCAATATTCAATTAACTAAAATGCTTTATTGTAATTTTGTTTTTCTATTTAAGTTTTGAATAATCTGCTTTGTTGAAAAGTATGTGATTACTATGGTTTTTCCATAACATATAACGAACTAAGCTAGTGATGTGAAAAAAAAATGTGTATAACAAGCTTCGCAAAGAGAACCAAAAGAACTGCACCGGTTGGATTACATGTTTTAAGGCATGCTTGTTATGACCAACTTAACATAATTAAATGCTAATGACCTGTTTTGGCAGACCTTTTAAATTTGCTTCCGACGTTAAGAAACTATTTTTAAACATGCTTAATAATTTTCTTATTCAAAACATAATTAAATATTTTTCCCCGTTCCTTCTTGTAACAATGCCCAGAAACATAGCTGCAAATCTTTGTGAAAATTTCTTATTGAAAACATGAAAATATTACCTACCACTCCATAGCTCCAAAAATAAGTGAAAATAATACCAAAACAAATGTTAAAATAATACCAAAAATGGATATAAAAATCGTTTCGGATCTCAACCTGAAGGAGCTATTTCAAATACTGTGATGTCGTCGTCTTCCCCATTCTCCTCGCCGCCGGCTAATTGAAGGAAGTCTTCGTCTCGAATACAAATCCACTGTTGCAGAGAGGGATTTCGTCCCCTCTTTAGAGAGAAAGAGAGTCTAACAGAGAGATTGTGAATTTTCATTGTAAAGTGTGAAAGGTTCAACCTTACCCACATAGAGACAGAGAGCGACTAAAGAGAGAGAAATTGTCAGCATTCATTGTAAATTGTCATTTTCTTGTTAAATGAAGAGAGAGGAAAGAGAGAGATATTTTGACCAGTGTAGACGTTTTTTTGAATTCAAATGTATCGCCACGTTAGCATTGTGTAAAAAATTTGGGATTCGTTTGTGTACATTTAGAATTTTCCATCTCCTAATGATGCCTTCCTTTTTCATTTCAATGACCCAGAAAGTGATATTAGTTATATATTCATACATTTTACATTAGATGAGCACTGCTCTATTTTCTTGTGCAATGAATCTGTTACTCTACAGTTTTTATTATGTTTAGGAATAGCAATTTGGTTCGTCGGCTCAGACCACGCGTGGCTCAGCCCGAAAAAAGCCTAAGGCTCGGGCTGAACCCCATTTTGGGGTGAAGGGCCGAGCATGAGTTGGCTTGTTAAAAAAATAATAATAATAAAAATAAAGAAGAAGAGGGGCAGTAGACTTGTGCTGCCTTTAAAAAAAATCAAGACTGCTCGGTTCGATAAGGCCCAAACCGAAAGCTCCGGTCGAGCCTTGAATTTTTTGTCGAGCTTTTGCTCTGCTCGGCTTGAGCAAAAAAATCCGTCTTAATTTTACTCAAGTCGAGCTCGAACCTTGAGTTTCAGCTCTTGAGTCGACTCTGCTCGTTGACATCCTTAATTATGTCTTTGCAATCTATTATAATAGCACTAAATGTTATACCACTTGGTACGGAAAAATATGCTAATTGGACACAAAACTTTGTGCTTATTGTAAAAGCTGAAGACTTGAACATGTGATAGATTGGCCAGCCCTTCAGTTCCTAATGAGGATTTTGGTCCGTCTAAGAATCTAAAGGATGAGAAGTGGCAGGCAAATAACTCGATACTTTGTAGTTGGATCTGTTGGTCCCAAATTTAAACTTTGTGACTCAACGTTTTAAAACTAAAGAACTCAAACAAAAATAACAAGAAAGTAAAGGAACACAAGGAATTTTCAATCAAAAGGCCCTAGAGGTTCAACGACCATTTGTTACACTTAGTCCCTCTTTGAGCATCTGTTATGATAAGTTCGAATCCACTAACACCGGGCAAAATAGGCAAAGTTTCAATTACATGAACGCAAAGCTATTAGATCTCTCAACAATTTACAATATCTTTTCAAAATAGTGTAAACTCACAAAAGAGTTTCACTCATGTCATTCCCTCAGAAATTCAGAGAGAATCACCAAAAACACGTGGAGAAGATGAACAAACGCACAAGAGAAAGCTACTAAGGTTTCAAAATGAAACCCTAAAGTCACAAGTCATCTATTTACATAAAATAGAGCCAATTATATCATCCATTGGTGTAAAATCAGCCATGTCAATAATCCAGCAAAGGCGCCTTTTCAACTTAAAAACGTATTTACCATACTTCCAGAATCTTCAGCTTACTGGATCATTATTTGGGCCAAAAATGACAACCGAACTGACAATAAATAATGTAAATGCTTGGGCCTCACAAAATTCTGCAACCCAATTTCTACAGGATGTTATCTTTGATGATAATAGAACTACAAAAA